AATGTACAGTGAGGAATGTCATACCTGGACCCCATCATTCTTTTGTTTACGTCGTTTTTGAGACGCCTGAATTTGCAACTGGAACTCACGAACTGCATTGAGTACTTCTGCAAAAAACTTTCTCTTTGCAGTTTCAATCAGATTCCTCTCCTCTTCCTCTAATCGCGATAACCTCTGTAAAAATACTTTGAGCATATCAGCAATATGAAACAAAGAATTTGGCGAATCAGCAGGGCGCAAGAATTTAAGACCATTTCTGTAAAAATCCGTCAGCCAATAAGATGTATTTAAGCCATGGTTAAAAAAGATTAGTGCCCCTATCATCTTAAGAATACCACCTAAGTTAATCATTTAGAGGTAAAAAAACAATCTGGGAACAGAAAAAGTTGATAACGAATAATCTAGTTGGAAAGAAGTCAAATGACCTCAGCATCACGCTTCTTTCTGAACTGATCATCGGCTTCCATAGCAAATGGATCACTGACCCCATAAAATGGACGAGGCAATCGCATCATTCCCCAGTCATATAGTTGCTTGTCCGGATGTGCACACTTCAAACGCAGCCAGTATTCTGAGCTCACCTCAGCTCGAACCTTGCATTGCAACTCTCTTAGCTGCCAGGTGCCAAAGTAAGGGCCAGTGTCAAGAATATCACTTTTCAAAGGATGGCAAACAAAAAAAATAACCAAGAAAATCTAGATTAGGCCACACCTTCAGCCCATAAAGCTCGAGTAAGCATTTTGCCTGCAAGTCTTCTCCTCTACTGGAAGGTAATCCTGATTCGAAAAACAAGAGTAAGCAATGAAGGAAGTTTGGATTTGTAAAAGTTCTATTTGCTCAACTAAGTCCCCCTGCAACTTAAAAGTTCACTGGCTTTCTTCCAAGAAGAAAGCTGCAAATCAAAACATCATCAAATCTTAAGATGGGTTGCAACAAATTAAGGAATCCAGGAATTGATACCAACCTTCAAGTTCAGATAGCCGGTGTTTGATATGGCTCTGATATCGATTTTCTTGTAATTTGGTCAAATGAGAGCCCGATTCGCATCTGGGTCGCTGCTTCAACAGCGCCTCCTCGAACTCCCTCATCAAATCACCTCCCAAGGGGGTAGAAGAGTTTTCCTGCAAACGTCAATTCAGAGGAAAACCCTGAGAGAGCCATCCTAAAGACAATCCTTCACACAAACTTCAAGGAAATCCACAGACTGTACAAAGCACAAAACGGGCAACCACGAAGATACCTAATTCGACAACACCCGACTAAAAAAAACCACGAAGAACGAAAAGAAAGAGCAGATTCCAAGCTCCAACACCAGAAACAAGCACAAAACCCAACGAATCCAAAGAAGAAGAATAACAAGGAGGGAAGGGGCAGAAGGGTAACCGGAGGAGGAGAAGCGGCGGAGGCGTCTTCGGAGGAGGCATAGTAGATGGAAGAAACGGCGGCGTGAAGGTGAGGGGGCAAAGGAAGGTTTCTAGAGACGTAGTTGAGAGCAGAGATCAGAGACTTGGTCGTCTCGACGGGATCGTCCTGAGGCTGTTCGAGCTTCGCCACCATGGCGGGAACCTCCTCGATTTCAACTGTCTAAATTGATTTTTTTTCCCCTTAGCCCCTCCAGAGAGAGAGAGAGAGAAATCGGATTCGGTTAATAAAAATCACACACCTCTCTATAACTCGACTCTCGGTTTCTTTTTCTTTTTCTTTTTTTTTTTTTTGGTTGTGTGTGTATGTGTATTGGGGCAATTCGTCTCCTTCGTTTCAAGTCCGATACCACCGACGACTGGAGATTTACGAACGCGAGCCCTTCCTCATATCATGTGATTTCCCCGAACACGCCTTCCTTTCTTCTTGAATTTACAAAAATACCCTCACTTTATGGGCCTCGTTACGGCCCATGTGTTTCTAGCTTCGGAATTTTTTATTTTAGCATTTTATACGTATAAGGATAAAAATAATACCATACTCTACTTTTCAGTTTGACGATTAAGCAAACCTTGTGGTTGTGGCATTATATCTTATGTACAAGTTTGTTTTCAGAGTTATAATTTCATAAATCAATTGTGTGTTATATCGTCATTTTTTTTTCATGTTTGTCCCTTTAAATTTTTTTCTTTTATGATTAGAAACGGAGAACTTATACTGTCGATAAACTTAAAGATTAAAGCGATATCGATGTTATGTTTGTTTCTTAGAATCTAAAAGAAGATTAGATTAGGGTTTTGGAAGGAAGAAAAAAAACCCAACGGTTTGTTTAGTTTTCTGGGCACATTTGAAGTTCCAGACCCATAGGAACTGTAGTGTTCAATCAGTGTAGGAAGCTCTAACTTTGGTAATGACAGCTTTCCATGGTAAATATATACACATACACATGTCTCCCAAAAACTTCAAAAGTCCTTATTTTTCTGGTGATAGATTTAACTTGCAAATTAAAAAAAAAATAGCTTTCATAATATCATCACTCAGCTATATGAATCAGAACCTTAAAATGAAATTTATGTATTCCACGAGGGAAGAAGCACATATCTTCTCAAGACTCTCCAAATATTATGTAACTGCAACGACCTTCTTCATGATCCACCACCACCATTTATTCTGCGGAAGTGGCTCTCCTACATGTGCTCAGCCCGACCATATGGGTTTGGCGATACGAGGCTTTCTATGTATGTATCGACCTCAAACCTCTGTATGGTTGAACAGCTTTAAGGACCAATGATTTAGAGGTATCATTCCTGAAATTGTACAGCACCAACTTCCCATTTAGCTCCATAAGAGGTTCCTCTTCCTTCTTACCCCAACACAGCGGCTTCATGGACGTGTACCGCACGCTGATCCGAACTCTGGCCCAAGAGCTAGACACCCCATACTCATTCATCACCCAGAAATCATCGTGGTTCCTGTAGCAGGTGTAAACAATGCAGAGTCTACCATTGAGTTTATGGAGCAGAAATCCCCTATGCGCGTGTGGGCCATCCTCGGCTTCGTCAGGTAAAGCCATGTCTTTGAACTGCTCAGTTGTTAGATCGAATGCCACTACAACTCTCCGGCCATCCTCTCGACGCCTTGCAACCCAGTGGATTGCACCGTTTACAAGACAACCATAGTCGGCCATATTATCATATTCATAACGCGAATCTCCGACCCATTTCCAAGATTCTATCTTTAGAGAATAAACACAACCATTCAGAACATCGCCAGTGACAAGCGCCACCAACTTATAATCATCGGTTATGTCATCGAACCCGAACCCCAACATTCGCACCCCTTTGGACCCCGACTTTAGAAATTCAAGCACATCTGGAATTCTCTTAGATTCTCCAGTGGTCAGATTGAACAAGAACACATCGTCTTCTTCATTAATGGTACACACCAACCCATTGCAAGACCCGGCCACTTCAGCCTCCAAGCCATCCCGATAATACGATGAGGCGAGATTGGACATGACAGGAGACTGAGGGATCTCAACAGCACCCAAATCCCTAGTCCCGTCGCACGCATCAACGACGGAATCGAAATCTACCGTGTAGAGATTGTGGGGGTAAGACACGATGAGCCTTCGCCGACCTGATGGGAAGGCGTCGTTTCGAAGGGAAAGATCGAGGTGGGCCTTCGCAAACGCAGGATCCGACGAGAGAGAGCGAAAGAGCTTAGAGACGCACCTGAATCGGCCGATCGATTTTGCGGGTAATCGAAGGAGAATCTCCCTTATGATCTCTGGAGGAAGAAAGGGAAATTCCGGTGGAGCCGAGCCGAGCCGAGCCTCGCCTCACCACCATCATCATCATAAGGTGTCTAAACACAGATTTTTATTCTGTGGAACTCGTTCTCCTACATGTGCTAAGCCCTACCATATGAGTTCGGTGATACGAGGCTTTCTATGAATGTATCGGCCATCATTATTCTGCGCTGCTTAGCATCTTTAAGGACCAATGATGTAGAGGTGTCATTCTGGAAATTGTACAGCACCAACTTCCCATTTACTTGCATAAGAGTTTCCTCCTCGTTCCTAACCGAACACAGCGGCTTCATGAAATCGTACGACACGCTAATCCGAACTCTGACCCAAGAGCTAGCCACCCCATGCTCATTCATCACCCAGAAATCATCGTGCTCCTCGCAGCAACTGTAAACCATGCAGAGTCTGCCATTCAGTTTCTGGAGCTCAAATCTCCCAAGCTCGTGTGGGCAATCCTTGGCTTCATCAGGTAAAGCCATGTCTTTGAACTGCTCAGTCGTTAGATCGAATGCCACTACAACTCTCCGACCATCCTCTCGATGCCTTGCAACCCAGTGGATTGCACCGTTTACAAGAAGACCATCGTCGATCATATCATCATCATCATATCCATAACGCGAATCTCCGACCCATTTCCAAGAATCTGTCTTGAGAGAATAGACACCAGCATTCAGAACATCGCCCGAGACAAGCGCCACCAACTTATAATCATCGTTTATGGCGTCGAACCCGAACCCAAACCCATTGATTTCCTCCCGTTTGGATCCCGAATTCAGCAATTCGAGCACACCCGGAATTCTCTTTGATTCTCCAGTGGTCAGATTGAACAAGCACACGTTGAGTGCTCCATTAGTGGTACACAGCAACCCATTGCAAGACTCGACCATTTCAATGCAGAGGTCTTCCCGATGACACGATGAGACGAGATTAGACATGACAGGAGGCTGAGGGATCTCAACAGCACCCAAATCCCTAATCCCGTCGCACGCATCAACGATGGAATCGAAATCTACCGTGTAGAGATCGCGGCGGAAAGACACGACGAGCCTTCGCCGACGCGTTCGGAAGGCGTCGTTTCGAAGGGAAAGATCGAGGTGGGTCTTCGCAAAAACAGGATCCGAGGAGAGAGAGCGAAAGAGCTTAGAGACGCACCTGAATCGGCCGATCGCTTTCGCGGGTAACCGAAGGAGAATGTTCCTGACAATATCTGGAGGAAGAGAGGGCAATTCCTGCGGTGGTCGTCTTCCGTCGTAGTCGTATCTCGGTCGTGCCCTCTTCGCTGTCTCCATTATCGCTTCTTCTCTCAGTAGCAAATACTAAAATCCACGCAAAATATGGCACTAGTACTAGTGTGTGTATATATATTATACGTATATATGACATGCAAATTGAGTCGTTGATTCGGGAGCGCTATTACAGATCGGTTAGAACACCCAATATATGTGTGCGCTTGATATTATACTTGGCTACGTGCGTGTCCACCGTACACCTCAAACCAAACACGTATGATTATCCAATCCATTAAATCTAATCGTAGGAAGACATACACATCACCATCATCTCTCCATCCAAGGGATTTATGGGCCGTAACTGGGCCTCGTTACGGCCCATTTGTTTTTAGCTTTGGAATTTTTTATTTGACATTCTATACATGTAAGGATAAAAATGATGCTATACTATACTTTTTCAGTTTGATGATTAAACAAACCTTGTGGTTGTGGCATTATATTCTTATGTACAAGTTCGTCTTTATCGATCAAATGACATGTGTGTTTGTCCCTTAAATTAGGGTTTTGGAAGGAAGAAAAAAAAAATCAAGAGTTTGTTCAGATTCCCGGCCGCATAGGATGAAAATGCAATATTGGGAATCTGAACTACATTTGATGTGGATGTCCAATTAAGAGCATTTCTGTCCACAAAGGATTAAAGCCATGCTGTGATTTGATATCTATGAAAAGTTAGCAACTTCAGTGATGAATCGTTATCATCCGCATGGCAACTTTGGCAGTGATCAGTATGGGAAGCTTGGTAACGACAGCTTTCCATGGTAAATATATACATATACACATTTCTCCCAAAAGCTTCAAAAGTCCTTATTTTTCTGGTGATAGATTTTAACTTACAAATAAAAAATAGCTTTCATGATATCCTCACTCAGCTATATGAATCAGAATCTTAAATGAAATCTATGTATTCCATGAGGGAAGAAGCATCATCGTCATCATAAAGTGGTGATGATGATGAAATTCATCCTGGGTCTAACCACACATTTATTCCGTGGAAATCGTTCTCCTACGTGTGCTAAGCCATACCATATTGGTTCGGTGATATGAGGCTCTCTATGTATGTATCGGCCGCCATTACGCAGCGCAGCTCAGCATCTTTAAGGACCAATGACGTAGAAACGTCATTCCGGAAATTGTACAGCACCAACTGTCCATTTAGTTCCATAAGAGTTTCCTCCTCGTTCCTAACCGAACACAACGGCTTCATGCTGCTGTATGACACACTTATCCGAACTCTGGCCCAAGAGCTAGCCACTCCATACTCATTCATCACCCAGAAATCACCATGCTTCTCGAAGCAGTTGTAAACCATGCAGAGTCTGCCATTGAGTTTATGGAGCTGAAATCCCCTAACCCTGTGTGGGCACTCATCGGCTTCATCAGGAAAAGCCATGTCTTTGAACTGCTCAGTCGTTAGATCGAACGCCACTACAACTCTCCGACCATTCTCTCGATGCCTTGCAACCCAGTGGATTGCACCATTGACAAGCACACCATCGTAATTGGTATCATCATCATCATATTCATAACGCGAATCTCCGACCCGTTTCCAAGAATCTGTCTTTAGAGAATAAACACTGGCATTCAGAACATCGCCCATGACAAGTGCCACCAACTTATAATCATCGGTTATGGCATGGAACCCGAAACCGAACCCACAATTGCGCACCCGTTCGGTCCCCAAATTTAGCAAATCGAGCACACCCGGAATTCTCTTAGATTCTCCAGTGGTCAGATTGAACAAGAACACGTCACCTGCTACATTCGTGGTACACACCAGCCCATTGCAAGACCCGACCACTCCAACCCAGTAACCTTCCCGATAACACGATGAGACGACATTGGACTTGACAGGAGACTGAAGGATCTCAACAGCACCCAAATCCCTAATACCGTCGCACGCATCAACTACGGAATCGAAATCTACCGTGTAGAGATTGTGGCGGTAAGACACGATGAGCCTTCTCCGACCTGATGGGAACGCGTCGTTTCGAAGGGAAAGATCGAGGTGGGCCTTCGCAAACGCAGGATCCGACGAGAGAGATCGAAAGAGCTTAGAGACGCACCTGAATCGGCCGATCGATTTCTCGGGTAATCGAAGGAGAACCTCCCTTATCATCTCTGGAGGAAGAAAGGGAAATTCCGGTGGAGCATCGCCACGACTTTCTTCTTCCTCGACGTACTCGTCTGTCCGTCTTGCCCCTTTCGCTGTCTCCATCATCGTTTAAGTGGCAGATGTATTAGTTCTCCAAATCTCTTCTATTTATAAGACCCCGAAATCTCAAGCCCTAGTCAAAACCACCCGGTATTCCTTGACCGGTTTTAAAACTTTACCAATTCAATGTGTTCAAAATCGATTAAAAACCGGGTCAGATTAAATGCGGCTTCAAGATGTGTTTGATCGTACGTATGATATGAATATAGTTTTCATCGTTATATGAATAATTTAATCAGGTTTTCTTGTATTTTCTAAATATATATATAACTTGATTCATCGGAATTCAACCCAAAAAAAAATTATACATTACAATAATAACATACTTAAAAATTAGTCGGTCCTCCCCGAATATTGTGTTTATTTTTTTTTTTTGTTTATTATGAAAGAATGATAGGAACAAATACAATGTCTTTGATAGAACAAGAAAACCAAGAAGCCATCACTCAGACACAAACACACAGATTCATATAGACATGTCGACGAAATCGTCGTAAAACCACACAGAGAACATGGATCAGACCAAAGAGAAGTCGGGGGTTAGACTCTTCCGAGGTGATTTCTTTGGTCGGAAATGGTTTCTCCAACTCCGACATGGATAGCTCCGGTGCACAGCAGCTGTGTTCCGCTCACAATTATCGTCATCACTTCAAGCGTCCTCTGCATATACGTATACATATACCCATATATATGTGTGTGTGTGTGTTAACAACGTTTATCTTTTCATTCGAATCAACAACGTTTCATCATTTGGAGAACTCACCAGATTCGCTTCTGTCCAGCCTAAGTTGATCTCCTTACACGCCAGCCTGCACCCATGTAACCCAAAATCCATATGTATATGTATATGTATATGTATATGTATATGTATATGTATATGTATATGTATATGTATATGTATATGTATATGTATATGTATACCCCATGGAGAGGAGAGTGAGAGCCCATGAGATTAAGGAAGAGGCGGCGGCTGAGTGAAGATTAGGAGCATCCCATTCAAGAACGTTTTGGATGCCGGAAAGTGACGTCGCCATTCCGACAACTCCGGCGATCAGTGAGAATATCACGAAAAAACCAGTCGCCATGTTTCCCATTGGGAAGAATATCGGGAAGATATGCGCAGGGAGCGATAACACCGACGCTGACGAAATTCGAAATACATTGTGAAAAGTTATAGATAAAGATGCTTATAGTGTAACTGTAAATAATATTTTCTAACGGTAATTAAATTGATTACCGGTCTCACGTGCTCGGTCGACGCCGTGATTGACAGCCCAAGAAGCGATGACGGTGACGATGAAATAGAGACCTAAATTTAGCATCAGGAGCATGAAAGCTGCAGACTTTGATCCTCCAGAAGCCATTTCTACGACCTGACAAAAAAACACACACTCACAACGTAAAAAAAGATCTTTTCTTTTCTTTTGTTTGCCTTCTCCCTGTTGGGATATGAGAAGATGGGGCGGTGTGTTTATATATGTGTATGTGTATATATATATATATACCAACGTATAATCGAATCTTGTAATTGAAGCAAAACGCCTATAATTCCTTGCGTTGTCTCTGACTTTGAGCAAAGTATCAAATCCCAAGCTTCCATTTTGATGACATCCTTTTTGTTTACTTCTGTCTTAAATGTTCATAATTTAAAAAAAAGAAAAGAAAAAACTCTAAAAATTCATAAACTTGTAATTTGGATTAATATTAATTTATAAACTTGTAAAGGTGTTTATTAATTTCTAAACTTGCAAAATTGAACACGTTAAAACCTGAACTTGTTAAACGGTTCCATAATCGTTCATAGCGTTATTTGGTCAAAAAAACGAGTTGACCAATTCGACGTGGCGCGTGACGTGAAAATAATTTTCTGAGTTGGCTCGCCACGTCACGTGCAACTTCAGATCAGTCAACTCGTTTTTTGACCAAAAAACGCTATGGACGATTATGAAATCGTTTAACAAGTTCAGAATTTAACGTGTTCATTTTGCAAGTTTGGAAATTAATAAACACCTTTACAAGTTTAAAACTTAATATTATTCCAAAATATAAGTTCAAAAATTATTAGAGATTTTTTTCTAAAAAAATAAAAATATAAGATAACGAATTATAAGAAGAGGAGTCGCCAAAGTAAATAGTATTGCTATTGTGGACTGTCAAATTATGACATAACCTGAATCATGTAAATATATACACAAATATATATATAACGACTTTAGTTATATAAATTTAGACCCAAATTTTAAATCTTTTACAATAATTTTGAAATAGAGGAAATACGAACTTTTTTTAAGTTATAAAAATCATGCAATATCGTACCAGTACATTTTGTTATAATAACAACTATATTTTGTTATAGAGAAAATAATATAATAGTGGTAGTTTTTCTATCAAATATTCAAAATCTAAATTGATTATGAATTGTTTTAGAAAAAATATATTAAAAAGGATATTAAAAAAATATATTTAATTTAGAAATATCATTTTTAATATAATTTTTTCTAAACGATTCATAATCAATTTAGAAATTAAAAGATACTTATATTTTATTCACAAAAATTCTAAAAATTCTTAAACTTCTATTGTGGAGTAATATTAATTCCTAAACTTGTAGAGGTGCATATTAATTTCTTAACTTGCAAAATTGAACACGTTAAATCCTGAACTTGTTAAATGGTTCCATCGTGGTCCATAGCGTTATTTAGTCAAAAAACGAGTTGACCGATCCGACGTAGCGATAATTTTTTGAGTTGGCTCGCCACGTCACACGCCACGTCGCATCGGTCAACTCGTTTTTTTACCAAATAACGTGTTCAGGATTTAACGTGTTCAATTTTATAAGTTTAGGACTAATAGTCACCTCTACAAATTTAGGAATTAATATTACTCCAAAATACAAATTTTAGAATTTTTAGGTTTTTTTCCCAAAAAAAGAGATAAAGAATGATAGAATATAAAATTGAAAAAAAAAAAGATGACAGCATTGATCTTTTTGAAGCATTTGGGATCAAAGGAAGCGTATTTGTGATCGGTGATTAGGGTTTTATACGATGACGATCCCTGGACTCTGCGGTGAAATCGAATAAAGATGACAGCAGTTTCGAATTTTGCTTATATTTCACGCCATGATTTGCTTTTTGAGCAGTTTGTGGTCTTTAGTTTAATTTTCCATATTAGAATAAAGGAAAAGAAAAATTCATTGATATATAAAAGGATATATGAGGATGAAAAAAATTAAAAAACAATTAAAATAGAGAAGATATATATATTGAAGACCAAATCGTGTTTCGTTTCCCGGTTTAGATGGTTGCGGTTTGGTTTCGAATCCAAATGGTTCATGGTTCAACGATAACCAAAATGGTTTAAGAGTTCTAATTCTTACCAGGTCAAGTTTTGTCCGGTTCTGGTTTAAAGGACGGTGACTTCACTATTAAAAACCCACATGATTTTTCCTTATTGGATGATTAATGTTTCTCGGTTTATCTATAATCCGAGATAAAATTGAATTTGAATAGAAATGACTCGAATTCAAATCAAAACATACCGATCTAAAGGGAAACAGATCAATCCAAAGAGAAATGAATCAAATGTGAATCAAAATGAATCGATTCGAAACGAATTTGAGTTGAAAAGAATTGATATAAATCGGAATAAATCGATTCGTATGGAATCCAAATTGGAATGAATTGAATTCGAATTGGTCAAAATCGAATGCAAACCGTAACAACTTGATTCGAATCGGAATAAATCGAATTTGAATTGATCAAATCGAATATGAACCATAACGAATCGATTTGAATTGGATAAATCGAATCGATTAAATTTGTATATGAACCGTAAAAAATCATTCCAAATAAAAATAAATTGAACCCGAATTGATCCAAATCAAATATGAACTGTAACGAATCTATTCGAATCGAAACAAATGTAAATCGATCTAAATCGAAACAAGTGTTAACAGAAATTAAATTTTATATAAAGACCAAGTATTTCCCTCATCCTATAAAGACCAAGTATTTTCTCTCTTGACTAATATAAGAGTAGTTAGTTTGCGGCAAAATCTACACGTGATAGATAAATACAGAAAAAATATTTAAGATGACAAAACTAATAAGAGTAGTTTGTAACCACAGTTAATTTTATTCACAACTTTCTAACAATAATTAATTTTGAATGTGTATATATAATATTACCGTGTGTACGAAAATTTATAGATGTTAAATGGGTTATGTTAAATGGATTAAACCAACCCAATAATATTTTCATTTGGGTTATATTAATTAAATAAGTTTGACAGATTTAACCCATTAAGATTATGGGTTAAATGAATAAACTTATGTAACACATTTACTCTAACATGAATATAAATCTTAATTAAATAATATTTTAATTGGATTAATAAAATCTGAACTCATTCGAACCAAATAATACATAACCGAATTTGAGACAACATCAAGTATCAAATGAGAATTTTAATTTAAAAAAATTGAATTGAGTAGAAAAGACTCGAAATCAAATCAAAACAGATGGATCAAAGGGAAACGAATCGATCCAAAGAGAAACAAATCAAATGTGAACTGAAATGAGTTGATTCGAAATGAATTTGAATTTGAAAGAATGGATACAGATCAGGATAAATCGAGCTGTATGGAATCCGAATCCGAAATCGAATCCGAATTTATTAAAATCGAATATAAACCGTAACAAATTGATTTGAATTGGAATAAATGGAATCCGAATTGATCGAAATCGAATATGAACCGTAACGAATTGTTTTGAATCGGAATAAATCAAAACTGAATGGATTAAAATCGAATATGAACTGTACTAAATCAATTTGAATTAGAATAAATCAAATCCGAATCGATCAAAATCAAATACAAATTGTAATGGATCGATTCGAAACGAATGAGAATTCATCCAAATCGGATCTAATCGAAACAAATCTTAATAGAAATTAAATTTTAAATAAAAATCAAACAGATATATAGTTCTATAGGACTAATTGGGTTAATTGAGTTAATTTGATATGATGGACTAACCTAATACATACAATTTTTTATTTGGATTGGGTTAACTCACCTCATTAAATTGTATGAACCCAAATAGGTTGGTTCAAAATGGATTGGATATCCCGTTTCGATATTTTTAATGGAATTGAGTATGCATATAAACAAAAGAATAATAAGTAAATGTATTTTGTTTAAGAAATACAAGTCACCGCTCTCATTTCAACAATTATAATAAAAATAATCGGTGAGGGAAAATGAATAATGTGTGTCAATGTCATCTAAATATAACTAAATATAACTCCGAAATATAAACAGAAGGAAAGTAAATTTTGCTTAAAGATTGGATTAAAAAAGTTAAGTCTCAACATCTTCGATGAATTTGACATATCACTACAATTTGTTGTTTTGAGTAAAAAAACTCCACCGATTGCATCTTCATGTCTTCTATATCTCTATTAATATATCTCTATTAATTGTTTCATTATATATGATATTTGCGACATCATCCTCACCTCAAATCAGAAAAACGTATATGTTCTTCACATAAAAAAAATTAGCACAAATGGGAGAAATATTATAATTTGAAAAACAATTGTTGTGTTTCCATTTATTTTGACAAAACTTATCAAATAACCTCAAATCTTCTATGATATCAAAAAGTTTCACTACAACCATCACTAAAACTGCAACGCATACAAGAAAGAGAACAACATAATATTCAAACTTTCCATTTAATCCAAAAAATTTATACTCCACACCAACATATTGATGATACAAATGATATAATAATCTAGGTCTATCCCTGTATATATAAACAATTTTGGCACATTTGCAATTGTAAAAAATAATATCAATTCATGGAGTAACTAGATGAAGAAGATGAATTGTTTCAGCTTCGTGATGATTGAACCATAAATGAAGATGTATTGATATCAATTTGAGAAAAAACAAATAAGCGTGAAACGAAATTCAATCGATTCTCAATTAAAAATGAAAAAAGATAATAACATGTAGGCAAAGAACTAGACTGTTTCTGACCTAATGATGATTCTAAGCTTTTTTTCTGGAAATGATGATACTAAGTTTTATTCTTGAATAAGTTCATGCTTTGAATGGTAATGGTTTTTATTTTAATTTTTTTTACTTTAATGTGTTATTTTTCGATTTTTGTTTTTGTAAATCGAAAAGAAAAGAGTTTTTTAGTTTTTAATCGATTTTTTTTTATGAAAGTTGCTTTCTAAGTTTTTAGGAAAACTGGTTTGGTAAAAACTTAATTGTCAATTTTTTGGTTTTTTGGTTTTTAAAATTCCCACAACCTCTTCTATTCAAGATCAGTTTGGCAAAAACTTAAATCCAGAATGCCAAAAAGATATAAATTTAACCAAGAAAAAGAATTTACTGTGTAGATTCCACCGGTTCCATCTCCACATCTCTATTAATTGTTATCTACG